GTTTATGAAATGTGACACCAAGACAATTCTCAACTTTAACACGAAAAAACATACACGTAAGTAAGTTAATAATGGTCAAGTCATATCATTGTGATGATGGTTGTGGTGTTTAGTCTTATATCTACTTCGGTGTTCTGGAGCCATTGCTGAAGTCGTCATTGTTAATCTTCAATATTTACAATTACAACAGTAATAGATCGGACGTTTGTACTACACGGCGTTGTTGGGTATGTATTTTTTAAAACATTAAGCCTTTGTGTAATTAAAACAATTTGATATCCCAGTACACTAATCAAAGACCTACACATTTAAGATTGGTATATTAGCTTCCGTCTGATTCTGCGCACTGATGATCAGATCTGACACAGTATCACTTCCGCTTTTAGTAAATGAACAATTACAGTCTACAGGCATGTTACCGATCAGTGATTGCAATCGGCGTTATTATGACCCGATCACGCGCGATGAGATCGCAGATAGGGATTAGTAACACGGTATAAGTCCTAAAATATATTGTCACCAACCAACACAGGACCCAACAACTGAACCAAATAATGTATACGTCGTCTGTATATCATAATTAACACTATTGTTGGGTGTATGGGTGTAGTGTCGGTACCGCCTGTGGAGGAGAAGACATTTAAATAGGATTATCTGGATTACTCTACAGTGTCATATATACCATAACGATGACGTAAGGGGTAATCCTCCCTCTAATATTATATAACAGTCTCCTGTTGGATAAAAACATGGTTCGCCATACTGATCGTCTGATATTGGGATATCTAGTCATTTCCGTACGAGTCTTCGGTAAGTACCATTCGTTACGTAGATTGTGATCAAAACTACAACAGCAATGTTTTTGTTCGTGTAAAGTCCCGATTGTTTTTTACAAGACCATGTAGACACATACACCCAGCCCGCCATAATTGTTTACATACAGTTTGACTTTGCCTTACACAGCATGTGTTTAGACAATCCGGAGATTAGATATAGTATATTTATAACTTGATTGAGTGTTTTACTTGATTAAAACACTAAACTAATTTCTCTTATCATCTGTTAACCTCCCAGAAATCACACTATACATTGTCTATATAATATTTCCTCTTCTGTTTAACATCCAGCCTCATATATATATGTTCTATCATCATTAAAATCACAACAAACATTGCATATAAATTATTTCATCATCCGAGAAATCATACCACATATTGAGTGGTTTAAGCTGTTGAACGTCCTAGCAAAGACAAAGTGATTAAGCTGCCTTTTCTCATTGTCAGCATTCTGTTTCTCGTGACTACTAGTAAATGGTGAGGTCGACAGTAACCTCTACACGGCCACTAGTCTTTGTATAAGTTGATACAATTTAAGATAGAGATGCCATACTAAAATGGCAATATATATTTTCCTAATGAGTATAGTGTTCAGATTTTATTCACGAACAATATCGACAACGTTGGCGTGGGTGTTTTGTTTCTGAACAACATGTATTTATGTGTGTTTGTGATGATGACTTCTACTTCTGTTACAAAAGTCGTATATTTTCAGTATTATCACTGTAATATGTCAGCAACATCACTTTGAATACAACCGTCAACTACACCATAACTCCTGAGACATAAAAATATCAGTTATTGGGTTCGTTTACAGCGATTCTGACGCGGTTCTCTCTTACTTCATATAGCAGGTACTGCTTTTACTCAACCTTAAGATCAATTTGAGAATAAAACCCTGCACCTTGTCTCCTAAGTGTCGCCGCTTGGGTTCATTTGATTAATCAGTATGGGTTAATTTGTCTGACAAGAAAGTCGCTTGGGAAATATTATTGAAGCTAATAATAAAAAAAACTGTATTGTTTTGAGATGTATGATATCAGCATTCGTTCTCCAGACTGTAAAGTATACGATTTTGTTGTTTATTGTTTGTAGCAACCGGGGTGTTTAAACATTTCTGTTTTGTCCTCTTTATTTTGTAAAGTCAGACATTCGATAAAAACGATATAAAATATCGACTATCGTAAACTAAGACATAAAAGGAAACCTTATTTGGGTTTAGCACACCCTGATGGCTCTCACATATCGACCTTCTGACTTGTTCAATCAGTCGAGCACCTTACAAATACTTCGCTGATCGTTCAAATCGACATGGATAAAGCTTTAATTAATTTGGCAATTTTTCCATCCGAGTGTATAAAAACACGCCAATTGTACGGTCGGTGATTTCATTATACGTCCTAATAAATCAGCAGCATATTTTCGTGAATACCAACGTGCTAACTTGCCAATATCAGCGACCATTTGAGACGTACAGGTTTTTTTTACCTGGAGATAAGTATTGATTGAGATCTATAAATCTCAGGTGTTGTGTGTATGTTTATGTAATGACCAATCAATTGATTCTAACAATTGTTTGTTAATAGTGTAACCTTTCTTAGGGTTTAAAAACCCACTGGCTCCGCGTTAGAATATGTTTATAAGGCAAATGCTGACTACATTAAAATACTTAAAATTGTCCCAAAGCTCCGTGACTCTAACTAAAGCAGAATGTATAAATGTATACATACTAGGCCGCATATTCTGAATTTAACCAAACAAATTGTTGGTTGAATGTAAAATCACAAGAATATATATATATATAACAGCAACTAACAACGAGGACCATGTTAGTTCAGACGAGGATAATAAATCTAGTAAAAACCGGGTCTCTTAAACCCGAACACCGCGCAGCATTCATACAAATAAATAAAACGGGTTCTTTTCTTAAAACGAAAGGTAAAATGCACAGACGTTTTAGTACATACGTTCAATATAATGAAGACAACTGTAGTATCTCGAAACCGCATAATTCAGTTGTACTGTCCTGACAGCCTACGAACGTTGACTACTAGTACAATAGACCAGTATCGACACCAGGGTACCGTCACGTCATTTATCAAGTAACGTTTTACTAAAGCATTTTATTTTAGTTTTTTATTACCAAATTGATAAAATACAATTCTGATTATAACACGATTGTTAATATCCGGATATTAAATAGTGAGCCAGGCGGCGACGGTAGAACAAAACATCGGACATGAAATAGTGAGCCAGGCGGCGACGACAAAATGAAATAGTGAGCCAGGCGGCGACGATGGAATGAAATAGTGAGCCAGGCGGCGACGATAGAGTGAAATAGTGAGTCAGGCAGCGATGATAGAGTGAAACATTGGACATTTAATAGTGAACCAGTCGAAGAGAGGAAAACAAACACCGGACATTAGATAGTGAGACAGACGGCGACGTTAGAATGAAACATGGGACATTTAATAGTGAACCAGCCGAAGAGAGGAAAACAAACACCGGACATTAGATAGTGAGACAGACGGCGACGTTAGAATGAAACATGGGACATTTAATAGTGAACCAGCCGAATAGAGGAAAACAAACACCGGACATTAGATAGTGAGACAGACGGCGACGTTAGAATGAAACATGGGGCATTAAATAGTGAACCAGGCGGAGAGAGGAGAAAAAAATGCCATGAGAATATTATACGGCGAAATACTTAATTATCTCAAATTAGTATAGGGGGCGGGTGAAATGAATTATACATAGCTATGGTTTACAATGCTCCAGATAGACAGAGAATTGCTATCATCTCCCTACGAGAATGATAAAAATCAGTACCAATGGCACGTTGTTTAATTAATTATATACATTTTTTTTTTCATCTCGTTAAAAAGAATGAGTCACCATCCCTACATTATTACAATTAAATCTGAGCCTGGTCTCTACAGAGGTTTGGAATCTTTAACTGACCTGATCATTGTAAAATGTCTCATTATCATTTCACAGTTACAATAATGATTTAAGTATATGAGTAGGTACTGGGACCCTATTAGTGAGTATAATCATGTACCAGCGTGTGTCACCGTCGAGGTGTCAGCATAGGCATGAGTACCGAGAACAGTTATTGTATATAACAAGTTTTTGTTGTACAATATCAATACATTGGTCATATATTTAAAATCAACTTAGCAATTAATACCTTGTAATGATTAGTTGTGCGTCAGATCTTGACGTAAAGAACATTTAGCCATTATTTATCGACTGTTGCTTATCAATGCATATTCCAATTTGATTGTTAAAGATTAAAACTGCACTGAACAAATGAAGAAAAAGACGGTGCCGAAATATTTTGTTAATTTCACAACAATCTGTTGGTAGATATAAAGTTTGTGTTACTGTTGTACAACAATCTGTTGGTAGATATAAAGTTTGTGTGACTGTTGTACAACAATCTGTTGGTAGATATAAAGTTTGTGTGACTGTTTTACAACAATCTGTTGGTAGATATAAAGTTTGTGTTACTGTTGTACAACAATCTGTTGGTAGATATAAAGTTTGTGTTACTGTTGTACAACAATCTGTTGGTAGATATAAAGTTTGTGTTACTGTTGTACAACAATCTGTTGGTAGATATAAAGTTTGTGTTACTGTTGTACAACAATCTGTTGGTAGATATAAAGTTTGTGTGACCACTTTACAACAATCTGTTGGTAGATATAAAGTTTGTGTGACTGTTTTACAACAATATGTTGGTAAAAAATATTTATGATGCAGGTCTTTGTTTATGTGGTGACGATGTCGATACATATACATTTAGATGGCCGTATGATATATTTCTGTGTCATTAGACCCCTTCAATACTTATGTATTGTTTGAGTAAAATGAGAATTGCTGATATTGAGAGGATAACACGTAAGGTATTTGATGTTAAATGTATTGAGTTGGCCTCGGAAATTTGCAAAGGCAAAGTCGTTCGTGCATATTGCATAAAACGACGTCAACTAAACAGAAGTCTTAAAAATAAAAACTGTTATAACTTGACTTGTATGACAACTTTTACATCTGATGTCTATAACTGTGTTTTTTTTACTTACAGACCTTGTATCAATCGACGGTGGGAATGAAATCAGTAAATGTCTTCAAAAGGTCACGATGGCCACGTGACCTTATATGATGTCTACATCGTCTGGATCATCTCATAACACGTCATACATTAGTGATACTAATTCCCGCAGCGTCAACACAAGACTTTCCCGAACAAAACAAGAGTGTGATAAAACACTAGCTCGGTACGAAAAAGAACACAGCGGAACCATAAACAAAATGGGTGCACGGGAGAAAGTATTGAGAGACTCAATGTTAGCGTATACAGAACGCATGCGCAACATTGCCAGTTCTCGGCAATTCATAGAGCCAGACAGGTATTCTTCACCAGAATCTTTACCACTTGTGGTTCATGCAAAACATATTCCTAAGTTTCCAGTTGTAAAAAGTAAGAGAAAACCAGCTTCGCTCGATGAGCTAATTGGAAGCCAAGCTGAAAAATCTAGACGCATGTACAATAAAACCGGAAGTAAGTTATCTCTTCCAGCACTTCCTGACCGACTCAATAAACGTACGCACCATGTGAAAATAAGTTTTGTGAGTGCATCAGACCTTTACGACTTTGTAGATTTCAGTATCAGAAACAAAGCTTCGAAAGAGGAGGCACTAAGGATGCTCAAGAATGAAGCGTTTAGCAAACGTTCCATGCGTCAACATGGCGGTAAACATAGAGACAGACCAGATTCTGATAAAGCGACGAAGTCGTCAGATTCACCTACTCCATCATTTGATGACGACAATGACAGCCAAGGTAAATCGAACGATTCGCATGGAAATCCAGTGGATCCAATTGTAGTTAACCATAGCAGTTCCTCCAATGATAGCGATAGATCAGAGGCAAGGAGCAGCGACGAGTCTTCAACTAGTGGTGAATTATCAGACAATGACGTACCTGCTCTTTCGTTCGATGCGTTAAAAATCAGACCAAGGAGGGCAAAACGAATGACTCTTCACCAGCCGCAGCTAAATATTATTCCAGAAAATTCCATGATATCTCAAAAGGCAAACAAAAAAAGACAAATATCTGTGACTTCGCCCCCTCCAAAACAATCTCCTCGCAATATCTTAAATACAGTTCCTATGTTATCAGCTATCCCTGAGTATGAACATTCCAGCAACGGGGATGAAGAATACTGGAATAAGAAAAAGAAAGCAAGAGCTCTAAGAAGGGGGGATAACCAAACTCACCATGGCGTTAGACTCGAACCAATTTCACAAGTTGAGCACCCACAATTAAAAACTAAAATGAAAGCACAGAAGAAAATCCGCAAACTGATTTATCTCCGTGATGTTCCTGAGAAAAAAAACTATCGTGAATGAAAAATATTTTTAGTATATGTTTAACTTATAGTGATGTGGTGATTTGGGATCTACTGTATTAGTTCCTTCCTAACTTTTCAGAAAATGACAGAAATATATTCTGGACGTCGAACAGACAGCTGGCCTGTCTATTTGTTCACTTAAATGGATTCTCATCAAGGTTGCATGTTCAAATGAGATATCGTGACATTATTTACAAAAACCTTCAATGTGTATCGTATAGAGCGGCATTCAGTACGTACATATGTAAATGTGTAAGACACTGTCGGGTGATGTCGCCCAATTCTAGATTATTGTGTAAAAGCTTTGAGTGTCTATTAACTTCGTGTGAACATATTCCTTATTCCTAAAAGACGAGATAAAAAAAAACAAACCGAAGTCGTTCAAATGAATTAGTAATAAGAACTGAAATGATTGCTTATAGTATTAACTGCACGATGTCTACGCACGTAACGGATCTATCATAAACGCTTCCACCATAAAACATACCGACAATTCATACTACTGAATTCAACATTGGTTCGTAATTATACACCCGAACGATAACCTGTTACAGAAAATAGGTTCGAACACAAATATATGCACTCTCGTTATAAGATATTTGATTTCTATGAACACGCAATCTGGTCTTGTTTGCCTATGTAATCAAAATGGGACCATTCAATAGACATTCTTATTCCAAAAGTATATAATTGTTGGCTAGATGACGACATTTTGTTAAGAAATACTTTTCTTGGTTTATTTTACAGAATACTGCTGAAGATAATGTGCCCTATTATTTACACCCTAGAAAACATGACACAACAAATATCACACAGGTATAGCCAATATAGGCAACGCCCATTTACAGAAACCTGACGATACACATGCCGAAAGCTATCATAGACACTGGTCATTATAACAACGAATGTGGTTCACACACGATACGAGAAACCAACTCTGGTGTGCTTTCATTTAGTAGCTATATTATTTTTTCACAATTGTGAATTGCGGGTTTAACGAAACACATATTTTCAACATTTTTAAATGATGAATATCGTTAATTAAAAAAACCTCCCGGCATATACATTGTGAATTAGACGTAAGTACAAACACGGCCGCTGTTGCACAAGAGGTTTGTGTTTGGCACATTCACCATCCGGATCTTTAGCACTCGACACTGACAATAAATATTATTTTTGATCTAATGTATCTCACTGTTTTTATTGGAAGGTATTAGTTACAAACAAAGACGATTTATTTGTAATCTCGCTTTACAAACCTGTCACTTGTCAAGAGGAGGACGGCTTGAGAGATAATATATATAAAACGAAGTGGTTGAGGAGTAACAGAGTTCTCCTCTCTTACCAAATAACGTAAATTCGAAAAACCAATTTTGGAAGAAAGACATCTTTACATCTGTAATGTTTTAAAGGCACTCAAAATAGATTTAGACCTTCAAACACCAGAGAATCAAGAGAATTTATTTCAAATCAAATGTGTCAAACAATTACGTCAGTTGTGTACAATTATCATGACGACAACACAAAAACCAAAAAATATAAACACCAGCTGTAATATGGTGATAACGAAAAACTAAAATGTACTTAAAAAAATTATTGTATCACAAGCCATCTATCAATGATATAAGATGCACACCTTCACGCCGTCTATACTTAAAATACTATACACGTAAAAAAGGAACGAATCACACCCATATATCTATAGTAGCTTGTAATAACATTAACACTTCCGCGATACCAAGATCATACCAACGTATGAATACCATCATAATCCAAACAAAATTCAATCAAATAGGGCAAAATATCGGCAAAAGAAAGATTTACATGGAGTACAAGGAGAATAAGACCAGGTGTTCCGGAAAAGTAAACGTCTTTTGTTCTATCGATGACACCAACCATAAAAGTCTTTGTCAATCCAAGTAAGTTATGAAACGTTGTAAGATGAAAACAAGGTATACAGCAACGTAGCGATAATGCAATCTAACGAGCATCACACACGCCCAGCTTCATATCGCGCTAGAAAATAGAAAAAAAATCCAATTAGATCACCATGGCGACTGAAATTGTTCTAAACAATTCATGGATATGCAGTTTTTGAAACCCTGTGAATATCTAATCAAAATAAAAACATCATAGATTTTGGATGTAGGAATGTTGCTATACAGAAATCGAAAATTCGCAATTGGGAAATGGAACTTATCACACTTATCATACAGCTCGGTGGAAAGCTGTCCATGTTGGTCTCGTTGTAAGGAAAAATCGAGATAAGCGGCTAGTGTAGACGAGTTTCTGGTGTCCTTGATTTCCAATTCTGGTGGGTATATACAATGAACGTGGACAATAAATATCTTGTTATTTAAAGACAAGAGGTCATCACTATATCTTATAGTGAAGGACTTTTCAAGGTCTTTGTTCTTCGATGAATTTAGGATTAAAACAATACAGTTTTACATGGTTAGGCAGCGAAACATCGCTAAGGTATATCAGAATTGGCTTTGTCCTTGATGTAGTGCACGTACATGTACACGTATGTGTGTCTGGGTGGCTAACGCGGTAATGTTATCTTTGCTGTGGAACAGAGACCGCTTTGTTTCAACACACCCCGCTATGACAATTCAAGCTTAGTCTCCTTTTCAAGTCGACAGGTTGTTAATTACATCACGTCAGATTGCACGTGGTGAGGTTTAAGTTCCGCCGTTCTTTGTGTGGTAGTTTATTCTTTGTTTCCGTATATCTAGTACGGACATTAACACAAACCCAATCAGTCAAACATCTACATAGTATTCCTCCATTTCCAATACGCTTTTCATTTATAATCTAAATTGGTAATTGGAAACTATAATTGGTAGTATTCAAAAATACCATTTTGTTAATAATCTAGTGAATTTTAGCAATTAGGACACCGGGTTAAAACAGAATTTTGAAAATCAATTTGGTCAAGCTTATAGTTCTGGGGCCTGTGTATTTCATGATCACACCGACGCCGGGTTTGACAGCTCCAGTCAAGACGATAGCACGTAGTTCATTCTCTAAGTTACGGGTCATAAGACAAGAATTATGTGTAATTAAAAATGGTATTATGTTCTGTAATTAGTCAGTATGTTACGAGAAATATATTCTACAATGTCATACATCTTATAAGCACGTGTTCTCATAACGTTGAAATTCAAAGGTTGGAAAATTTCAAATTAACCTTTTATATTGTAAAAAGTTCATGTACGTTACTCTTCAGTTTGGTCAATAAGCACGGGATTCAAACATGTACAAAAATAGTTACCACAATTTAGATATATATAATCACAAAAGACATATCTTACTAGTTAATATTATGTATAAAATAAGCTTGATCCTGTAAACATCGTTTTAGAGGTATATTAAAAGAAAAGAAATAAAGACTTTCAATTTTTGTGACTTTTGTTTTAGTTCATTTCGTCCATGTTTAAACATCAAACACTGACAGAAATGTATTAAGTGACGTGACTTCAGTCGTTACAGTCTCACACATATAAATATTCTGGTAAATTAAGACTTGATGCTGCTATACTCAATTTTTGTAAAAAGCGTCTTCATAAAACGACGCCGTTGAAATTTCCGATTATTTCAATTAGAGATCTTTTTTTAAATTTTTTAAACAAGAGGAGAATTCGTTCTGAATTAACGGATTTATATCGTGCTAAACGAGTTCAATGTTATTATCACGCACTAAACATCAAAACCTCCTCATCATCATTTCTTTATTTCCTCCAAATATTGAAGAGTAATTACAATGACAAATATTGTAAATTTAGGTGAAAATTAAAGAAAAAAGTGCAAGAATATATGTATATAAATATTGAACAGTGAATGTGAATAACCAATCCATCAATAATGGAGATTTCTAGCAGAACACAACAAACATTAGATAGGAGATGGCCTTTACTGAAAAGTCATATTGTAGGCTTTTTCAGAAAACATTAGACAATTTTTAATAAAAAATGTAAACAAAGATGAATCGTCATAAAATGATTCATAAATGTCCTTACAGAGCTATCTGGACACACATACACATTAACTGGATATTTTCCACAAAACTGGTAAAAAGATTATCTCGCAAGATATGGGCTCTTTGCAGTCAAGTAAACAATGCTGCTCAAAATACTCAATTTTTGTGAAAAGCAGTTTTACATGTCATAAAACGACGCCGAAATTTGAACTGTTATTTAAAAGAAAAGAAATAAAGACTTTCAATTTTTTATTTCAATTAGAGATTCTTTTTTTTCAATTTTTGTAAAAACATAAACAGGAAAGATTATTTCGATCTTTTTTTAAATTTTTTCTGAATTAACGGATTTATATCGTGCTAAACGAGTTCAATGTTATTATCACGCACTAAACATCAAAACCTAGTCACCGTGAATAACATTTTACTAATTACATACATCTTTGTATAGCTGACATTAGCTTTGGCCTCCAGTTCGATTACTGCAGAGGAAATAGTGCAGGTTCGTAATTACTTACACTACATATACAAAGATTAAAAACAGAGGTAAACATCCACCATACAACAAAACAACAGAAAATACATTATATAACAGATACATTGTACGACCAGTAGGAGCAAGGTGTGATCAAAAGGAAAACGGACTCTGTTCACTGTCTGCGATGTGACTCCCGTTGAACCATTATTGTTTACGTGAAAACATTTTTATATGAAAATGGAAACGAACGGTCAACAAAGCACATTGTAGCACAACGTCAACAACAGACTGGTATTATACATACACAGGTACTCAAACATATCTGTTTACACAAGTAGTGAATATATCACTGGAAATTGATGTTTACATAAATTAAAATAATTGAACGCGATTTACTGTAATGATATATACCCATAGGAAAAATTTTAAATAAACAAATAATCCAGAGATAAAACGCCAATTTCCTAACAGAAATTCAATTGAAGTAATGTTTATACAAAGAGAAAACAATTCACATTCTTAGGTCGGTCCCTACACAGTG